ACTGCTTTATCAAAGCCATACTGTGGTGGCATCCCATATAACGTAGAGGAAGATGGGCACGGATATTAGCTGAGGACCAATCTTCCTCAAGAAAAAAGAGGAGGATTGGCAACAGATGTTAGCTCAGGGCTAATCTTCCTTAAAAAAAAAAAAAAAGTCAAGTGGAAGCCATTAGAACTGCTTCTCCCCACCAAAATAGTAAACCAAAAGCAATATCACATAAAGAGATTGGGGAGATTAATGCCACTTGAAGGATGCACGGGTGGTGATTCTTGCCACATCTCCTTTCAATTTACCTATTTGGCCTGTGCAGAGGGCAGACAGAGCTTAGAAAATGAAAGTGGACTGTTCCAAACTACTTAATCAGGTAGTCCCTCTAATTACAGCTACTGTTGCTTCATTGCTGGAGCAAATCAACACTTTCCCTTGTATCTGCTATCCAGCTATTCCTCTGGCAAATGCTTTTTTTCTTTTTTTTTTTTATAATTTTATTTATTTATTTTTTCCCCAAAGCCCCAGTAGATAGTTGTATGTCATAGCTGCACATCCTTCTAGTTGCTGTATGTGGGACGTGGCCTCAGCATGGCCGGAGAAGCAGTGCATCAGTGTGCGCCCGGGATCCGAACCTGGGCCGCCAGCAGCGGAGCATGCGCACTTAACTGCTAAGCCACGGGGCTGACCCAAATGCTTTTTTTCTTAATGCCTATTAATATGGACCACAAAACGCAGTTTTTTTTTTTTTTAATGTTTATTTTTTTATTTTTATTTTTTTGTGAGGAAGATCAGCCCTGGGCTAACATCCAATGCCAATCTTCCTCTTTTTTGCTGAGGAAGATTGAGCCTGGGCTAACATTCGTGCCCATCTTCCTCTACTTTATATGGGATGCCGCCACAGCATGGCCTGACAAGCGGTGCATCCATGCGTGCCCAGGATCCGACCCTGCAAACCCCGGGTCGCCAAAGCGGAGCACACGCACTTAACTGCTGCGCCACCGGGCCAGCCCCAAAATGCAGTTTTATTTCATCTGTAAGAGTCAGCACTATACTTTCACTGTTCTACTCCAGAGCTATATTATCTCTCTTTCTGTCATAATCTAGTCCAAATAGGCCTTGATCTTCTCTATGCCACATTAATGGGCACCACAGGATATGTGTGATATCATGGTAACTGGACCTGGCGAGCAAGAATTAGTAACTACCCTAGATAATTTGGAAAGATATATGCATGCCAGAAGGTGGAAATAAATTCCACAGAATTCAAGGGCCTGTTGCCTCAGTAAAATTACAAGGCATCCAGAGGTCTGGAGCATGTCTGGATATTTTTTCCAAGATGAAAGACTAGTTGCTGCATCTGACTTCTCCAGTCTCTAAGAAAGAGGCGCAATGCCTAGTGCGCTCTTTTGGATTTTGGAGACGACATATACCTCATTTGGCTGTGCTACCTTGACCTATTTACTGAATAACCTGAAAGAGTTCCAGTTCTGAGTGTGGCCCAGAAGAATAGAAGACTCTGCAACAGGTCCAGCCTGCCAAGTTAGTTGTTCTGCCACTTGGGCCGCATGGCGCAGCACATCCATCCTATCTGAAGTGTCTGTAGCAGATAGGGATTCAGCATGGAGATTTCAGCAGGCAGCTATAGGTTAATGAGAGTCAATAGGATACCAAACAAAGCTATGTTATCACCTGCCAATAATTATTATCTTTTGGAAACACCTTCTGGCTTGCTATTAGACTAGTAGAGACTTAATATGTGACCATGGCCACCAAGTTACCTTTGAGTTGAGCTCCTCACCATGAACTGGGTGCTGACTCACTAAGACATGAACTTAGGCATGTAGATCCGCACTTGATCACAAATAGCATTAGGACATATAAAATTGAATTTGAGCAGATTCTGAAGGCACAAAGAAATTGCATGAGGAAATGGTTAAGACAACCATGGCTCTTACTCCTGCTACATGGTCTTCTCTCTCTCAACACATACTGATGGCATCAAGTGGAGTTACTTGTCACCAGTTGACTAAGGAAGAAAATACTTGAGACTAGTTTACAGACAGTTCGGCATGATATGCCAGCATCATCTGAAAATTCACAGCTGGAGTACTACAGCTTTGCTCATGTACGGCCCTGATGGGAGTGGTGAAAGAAGGTCTTAGTAGGCATAACTTTGAGCAATGATCTAACTGTGTAGTCTGGAAGGATAAAGGTTCAGAGGTATAGATTTTCACTGATTCATTGGAAGTGGCTAACAGTTTGGCTGGGTGGTTTGGGACTTGCAAGGAGTACAATTAGAACATTAGTGACAAGGAGTCTAGGGAAGGTATATGTAGGTAAATTTCTCTGAATGGGCATAGAATGTGAAGATAAATTTGAGTCCCATGTAAACGCTCCCCAAAGAGCAATGTAAGAAGAAGATGTTAATGGTCAAGTGGACAAGATGATTTATTCCATGGTTGTCAGTCAGCCTCTTTCAACAGCCACCCTTGTCTTTGCCCAATGGACTCATAAACAAAGTGGCCATGGTAGAAGGGATGGAGGTTACTCATGGGCTTAGCAATATGGACTTCCACTCACTAAGGCTGATGTGACTACAGCCACTTCTGAGAGCCCAACTTGCCAATAGCAGAGACCAACACTGGCTCCCCATTCCCTGGAGGGAATAAGTCAGCCACCTGGTGATAGGTTGATTTTATTGGACCACTTCTACCATGAGAAAGACATCACCTTTGTTCTCACTGGAATATATACTTACTTTGGATATGGGTTTGCTTTTCCAGACCATAAATGCTTCTCCCATTACTGCTATCCCTGGACTTCGGTGTACCTTATTCATCATCATGGTATTCTGAAAGATTTGCTTCTGACCAGGAAATAATTGTACTTCACATCAAATGAGATGTGTCAGTGGGTTCATGCTCAGGGAATTCATTTTTCTTACCATTTTTCCCATTACCTGAAGCAAGAGCCTGATATAATGGTGGGAGGCCTTTTGAAGACCTAGTTTTAGTGCCCCCTGGCTGGCAATACTTTGCATGGCCCAGGTAATGTCCTCCAGGATGTGGTACACACTCAAATACCAAGATATGGTGCTGGTTGTTTCATGGCCAGGATTCTCAGGTCCAAGAAAGAAGGGGTGAAAAGTGGAGTGACTCTTCTCACTATTACTCCTAGTAATCCAGTAGTGAATTTTTTGCTTTCTGTCTCAGTTGAGACCATGTGACAAGTTATAGAAATGATAGTAGTAGTTATGAGCATTTCACTTTTACTTTGAAATGAATATATATATCAATTCTTTTCCTTTTCTTCCCTATTTCATTCCTCTACTATCTAGCATATGTTAATAGTGGCTAACCCTATATTTCATTATTTGGGTTACAGAATATCAGTGGAAGTCTGTGACTCATAGAAGAGAAACAAACATCACTCAAAGATGGATAAAGTGACATGTGGGACTTTGTATCCTCCTTTGGAGAGAGAGTTGATGCATTTTTTATTATAGGAGGGATATTGCATCATGTAAGATGGGGACATGATTGCTATTGTTTTTTATTTGAAAGTTTTAAATATGCTTAAAGTGTAAAGGAATGCCAAATTGATGAGTGGTGGTTTGTACTCTAACTTGTTAAGCTAGAACTGTTTCCCAGTATCCTTTTCCCTGTATGATTCTGGGATAAAGTTGGCCAAAAGAGGAATTTGTGCAATATTTGGAAGGCATAATTTAAGCAGAAGCCATTACTCTATGAAGGTCATCATGCTTAGATATGGTAACAGACTGCAGAGAGGACAGTAGGTTCCGAATTGTCCTCACTCTCCTCTGCCATGTGTCCAGCTCTTCTTCCCAATGTCCAGCTCTTCCTCCTAACTGCTGACCCTGTTGATACACAATGGCCCAAGGGCCACCACCAGATGCTTGGCAGCACACTGTCAAGGCAGTTGCTACTCAGAGGCACAGCTTCCTGTAGACATTCCCACAAGCCTTTCCTCCCCAGTCTCATTGTGGCAGTTGGACAAGGTGGCTTCTTGGATTAACTGGTGACTTCTTCTCTGACTCTCCAACTTCTCTCCTGAACCTTTACTTCCCCAGCTCCTCCTACAATTGTTTAAGATAATTCCTGTAATAAATCCCTTAGCCCATACCTGATAGTGGTTCATTTTCCCTCATTGAACCTTGACTGGTACAAATAGAGAAATCTAGATGGAATTTGAGCCTGTTCCTTCTGTTCTTCAGGTCCAGTTATAACCTTGTGCTTCCTACATGTAGTTGTTCAACCATTATTTGGATTCTATTTACAGAATAAAATATTTTTTCCTAAGCTAATTTGAGTTGGTTTTCAGGTATTTGTGATCAAAAGAACTGTAATTAATACCCTATGGCAATGCTAATTATGGATCTCTTGTATTTCTGCATGCCTGTGAGCAGACACAGACTGCCAAACTATCTTTTCAAGGATGTTTATATAGCAAACAGTCTTGGAAGATATAGTGCACCTTCTTATGGTGCAAAAAGCATGATTACTGCCCATTATAAAAAATTTGGTTCCCTAATCTCAGGTTCCTTTCCTCTCCTGTTATGCAATCCACTGTGCAGCCATTATTTGGGCCTCTTTGCACTCCCCAGTGGGAACTGGGCTCAGGAAATGATGCAAAAATGATGATACTTTGGCTATTGCTATTGCTATGAATAATAAACTGTCCTTTGTCGCTGACCCAAGAGACATGAAATTGTTGCAGGCTAACTTGTCAGCTGGCATGGATGGTGAGATTCTTCACAGTTCTTGAAAATAAGGTTATTTTAGGCTGGTGTAATTTCATAGGTACTGCTCATTAGGCTTTTCAAAGAGAACAATGTATATACCTATGATATAGAGTAACATATTAATAAACAAGTAAATGTGTTTTTAAGAAATAAATTCAATTTATTATATCATTATAGTATAACAATTACTTTATAAGCATAGATCTCTTTATTTCTCATTTGTAATGACAAGATTTATGGTCAGAATGCTTTGATTCTAGTAACAGAAACAAAACTCTTTCTAGTTTATACAAAAAGGATAATTCATTATAAAATTACAAGAGTACCTTACCAAAGCCAAGAACAACAGTTAAAAACAGGCCTCAGGGATGGTGGCCAGGAGTAGAAATCAAATCTTGCTAACTTAAGCATAAACAGGTATTTATAACTAGGATACAAAGGAGCCTTACCAAGCCAAGGGCAGGCTTTATGCAGGGCTGGAACAAGGGAAAGGAGCACTATTAGAAAGTCAGGAATCACATTCTCCTGATCTCTCATCTCTGCTTTTCACTTTGCAAATGCTTCACTGAACTTTCATTGTAGATTTGCTGTTTTTTATTTCCAAACCAAAAGGTGGGACATGGCAGCCCACAGCTCCCCAATTTATGTTTCATCTATTCCAGAGACTAGTGAGACCAAAGCTAGAATCTCTTATCTCCAACTCCAAATTCCTAGAGAAGTTTTAGGATCTGACCAAAATTAGAGAGGACTCTCTTATCTAGGATAGGCAGTAAGACAGAAGTTGGTAGGACACCAAGAGACAGAGACCAATTAAAATTGTTTTTAATGCTCCTTACAGACCTTGATCTGAAATAGCTTATTTAGATTTAGGAGTGGATATAGAGAGATGTTCTCACAATCCATAAGATGTTCTCACAACACACAGCCAGTAGAAATGACAGGTGCTTCAAACGAGAGAGGTATTCTAATCCTTTTTAATATTTCCCCCCAGACAGAAATGATAGGCCTGGATAATGCTACTATCTTATTTGAGACAAGTTTCGTTTCATTTATTGTAATAGGTATGATTTATTTCTTGGGAAGTTAAGCACAAATATTGGTATGAGTAATTTAAGCACAAAAGGTAATATTATACTTTGTTAATTAATTGTTTTCCCCAAGAGAAAGAAAAATGGAGACTAATTACATGGAGAGTATTTAGGAGAAAGGAAAAAATATTAATTATATAGTAGATGTCAGAAATCCCTCAGAACCATGAATAGAAATTTGATCAAGGGTCTCAGATTAGAGAGGAACTCTGATTCATCGAGCTTGAGTCAGGTGCGCATGAACATAGCGGCTCACATTTTCATCATAGAAGGGTAAGGGTTGGGGGCCCATTCTGAGAAACTGACATAGGAAAGGGCAAAGAAAATTGTTTTCTGGATTCTTCACAGTGTTCCAGGCTCTCCTAGAGGAGCAAAATTATATTGCTTACCAAAATCATGACATAATAAGATTTGAATGGTAGGTGATTTTTGTATTTAAAATCCAGAAAAGCTGATGGAAGTATTCTGTCCAGCCCTACCCACATTGAAATAAAATTGAAAATGTCAAAAGTATAAGGAAATGCTGTGAATGTTTTATTCAAAAATGTATTTGTACTGAAGATTTCTTAAAGAATTTCTCCTTGATGTTGAAATACATTTGTATTATTTATTATGTCCTTTGATGAGATACAAGGAGTTAGGCTTAATGTTCCTATCACTCTAGGTCTTGTAATTTTGTTTCTAGAAATAAGAAATGGCAAGGGAAGTAGGACCGCTCTATGGTAAAGAACAGAAAAAACAATATTAGCATGGACATGTTAAGAGACTCAGAAGCTGGTAATTCAGTTTTAACTTTACATGATTTCAGTGTATACAAAGTTTCAAAAGAAAAAAGTCATTCAACATTATGTTGAAGGTTTTGTATTTCAACCTCTGTATTTCCTCGTGAAAATACTTCCTTAATGCTGTCATCTTTTTGATCATCATAAAGTGACATATTCAGTACATTTTCAGTACATTCTTCTAATGAAATGGTTGACAGGTATGAAAATACTTTTTCCATTAGAGGTTCCCTGAGAAAAGGCACTGGAGAGCTCTTTTTTGCTAGAGAATCGTCAGAAAACCAGTCATCAGCTGCTTCTAAGCTTTGGCTGTAATGAGAATCAGATGGTAATGTTGATAAGCCTAAGGTAACACTGCTGCGATTCGTTGCCGAGCTGGACTCTGGGGGGTCACAAATGACCTTTTTTGTTGCAAGGCAGAATTCATCTTTAGAGTGCTCTTTAATTGCTATAAAGGAAAATTAGATTTACTGTGAATATTATATATTCGTGAGCCAAATCTTAATTATAAGAGCAATGTTTCTTTTTAAAATTCAGACTCTTCTTAGGGTTATAATGGACAGGATGATGCTATAGTGAAAATTCTGAGTTGCTACCATCCTCCATACAATGTTAAATATGTAACTGGGAATTAGCAATACTTTCATGATAATCAAGAGTAGAAAACTCTATTCTAAATAAAATCAACCTGTTTTAACAGGAAAAGATTCTAAACAGGCTAGAAATCTCAGTTCTGGAATGTCCCTTAAAATCAGAAAAGGCAGATAGTTTCTTAACTATTTATAGCTAAATATTGCCTTATTTAAAAAATACATGCCGCCTTAAGTAGGCAGATTACAAAATGTTTGGTCCACAGCGGGACCGGCCTATGGGCTGGCTTTACACCAATAAAAGTAACAACTAACATTCTTATAGTGCCTTACAATTTACAAAGCAGTTTGACATACTTCCATATCTAATTTATCCTCTCAATAATTCTTCAAGGTAGTTATTAGCACCACTTCACAAAAGAGAAGACTGAGACTTGAGGAAATGACTCATCACAAATCAGATACAAAACGGACTTCAATCTAGATTTTTGTTACTCTGTCTCATACTTCTCCTGTTACATTATTTATGCTGCACAGTTGGTATTTAAAAATGTTAAGTTTTAGAAAATATCACATTTATACAATGCCCTAAAATATCTTTTATAATATTTTACATATTAACTTTTGATATTAATGTATAACATTAAGTTTTAAAGCTGTTTTAAATATCTTATTACATTTTACATTCAGTATTTCTAAAATTATGTAGGAGGTTAATGTTTCAAGCTACTAAGACATAATAAGCAATATCTAAAGGGTTACAAAACACTCATGTCTTGTGACCCTCCACCATTACCATATGGCATTGACTATGATATTTTTGGGTATAAATAAGGGACAAAAATTAAAATTTCACATTTTAATTTAAGATATGACATTGCAAATTTTGTTTTCTAAAAAATATATGCCCATTCATATGCTAATAAATTAATGTTTTCCTTGAATTTTCATGGTTTTTAAAAATATTTAGATAACATTTAGGGTAGCCTTTTGATTCTTTAAGTTACAAATTGCTGTAAGTCGATTACGATTTCTTCTAATAAACTGTTGAGAAAAAGTACCTTTTATACGTGCTGTTTCCTTTTTTCTTTGCTCCTCCTACATAAAAAAACATTATTTGTATTTTAAAAACTGAATAGTTTTTATATAATTTCTATAATATGTTAGACATATAATAATAACATATTTTAACACCATAATAACATTTTGATGGAATAATGGTTTTTTCCTACAATATGAATTTATTTCACCAAACTATATTGACAGAAAAGTTTTGAGGTATCCTCTGAAAAGAATGTGAATTAGTTCAAGAAGGCAGTCTCCAGCACAGGGAATAAAGGGTGAAATAGAGTTCAACAGGATTATTTCTCTCCATCCTCACTAACTAGAGTCACTTGGTCAGAACTAGAGAGGGCTAAAAAAGTAATCAGACTTCTTAGACTTACTCATTTCATTAAACTACAACAACAAAAAGTCAATTCTGGATGAAGGCTTTTATAAAAATGCAACTTTTATTCTTTTGAAGCAAATAAAACATTTGCTTAAACAATACATTCCAGATGTGTTCTGGGAAGGGTGATGGTATAGTAGTTCTCAAACTTCAGGGCATCAGAATCACCCAGTGTGCTTGTTAAAATGTGGATTCTTGGGCATAATATCAGACGCGACTAAAGGAGATTCTCTGAGAGTGCAGGCTGGGAGTATGCATTGTAACACACTCCACATGTGGTTCTGATTCAAGTTTTCCTTAGACTACTAGATACACAATGGACTAGTACATTGGGTGCTGGGATGGAGTGAGGGAAGATGAGGCTGGAGAGATAATAACATTGTCTCGTGTTGTGTTCTGGGGGAACAGTCTTAGTATTCTGTGCTGATCTGCATTGTCTTGTCCCTCCAAAAGACTCGCTTAGGATATACATATATATAGGGTATACATATATATAGCATATACATATATATAGGTTAACACATAAGCATTTTTTTAATAACCAACTTTATTTCTTTGTCACTTTCACCTTTTATTAATATAAATGCCAATATAGGCTCCTGACTGACTTTACCTGGATTTAGGACCAATTCAATTTGTAAGTCCCATATAAATTATATTAGAACACTGCTTCTCAGACTTTAATGTGCCTATGTATTACCTGGGAAATTTGTTAAAATGCAGATTATGACTCAGTAGATCTGGGCGGGGTCTGAGATTCTGCATTTCTAACAGGCTCCTGGGTAATGCTGATGTTGCTGGTCTGGGAACCACAGAGTAAGGCCCTAGATTGATTAAAATTCTACCCAAACTAAGAGAACGACAAAATAGGCATTCTTATGTATTGCTACATATAAATAGGTAGAATTTTTCTGGAGGGCAATTTAACAAATCCACTTCTAGAAATTTATTATGCCAAGTACATAATTTTGGATTTATGGAAATACTCAGTTACCAGAATGTTCATCACAACATTGTTTAGCATTTTTAAAACCTGCAATTTAAAATTCTAAGAGTAAGGAAATAGCTAAATGTATGATGATATATGGATATTAGTACCATGAATATTCTTTCAACTATTAAAAATGATGCTATAGTAACAGAAGTAAGTAAGGACTCAAAAATTGGTGGGGACACATCAAAAAGACAGAGAAACAATCTTGAAGGGGTGTCTATTGGTTAAATTTGGGAAAATTTGAGCATCAAAGTAATGATAGTAATGGATTAAATAGAAATCCCTGAGTTTATACTGATAATAAATAAATAAAATAAGGAAGAAGGGAGAGCTTCCTCCTTACAGTAGAAGGCCAAATGTCAAATATGGATGGGAGTGGTAGAATTCGAAAATCATAATTTTGCTACAGTTTTGTAAAGATTGGCTCACGTGAGAAAAATTTATATAGCTGGTAAGTAGAGTTTGATGAAGAGAAAGATATTTACATGATTTCAAAGTGTCACCAAACAGATTGTTTATTAATTGCTAGGGTAAAAATAGGAATAATACAGTGGGAAAAACAGACATCATCTTGATTGAGTGACCAACTAAAAATCACTAGTGAAGAGCAAATGAACATTGTATGCCTTCAGATGTGATAAAGTGAATCTGATCAAAAGGAAAAGATAAAATGAGGAAGAGTCTATCATCTATAAAATAACTGGCTTACATTCTTCAAAAATGTCAATATCATGAAAGACGAAGAGAGGAAACTTTAAAATATTTTGAACTGAATAATGATGAAAACAAAACATAAAAATTTGGAGGATGCAGCAAAAGCAGTGCTTAGAGGGAAATTTGAATATTTATAAATGTTTATATTATAAAAGAAGAAAGGTCTAAGAATAATAAAATTGAAAACTCCTAGCAAGACTGATAGGAAAAGAGAAATATAATCAGGAATAAAAAGAGTGCCATCACTTAAGATTCTATAGATATTAGAAGGATAATAAGAGGATACTATAAAAACTTTATGCCAATAAATTTAACAAATTAGATAAAATGGAAAAATTCATTGAAAAACATAAATTTCTAAAACATACAAAATAGAACATTTAAATAGCCCAATATCTATTAAAGGAACTAAATTCATAATAAAAAATTCTCTCTTGAAGAGAACTCTAGACCTAGATGACTTCTTGGGTGAATTCTAGAAAAAAGCTTGGGAAAGCAATGTCACCCATTCTACACAAAAATTTTTCAGAAAGTAAAGGAGTAGGAAACATGACCAGAATAACTCTAATATTAAAATCTAACAAAGATATTACAAGATAAGAAAATTATAGAATAATATCCTTCATGAACATAGATGCAAAAAGTATTTAAAATATATTAGTAAATCAAATTCAAATCCAGTGGGGTTTATTCCAGAAATACAAGGTTGGTTTAACATTTGAAATTTAATGTAATTCACATTAACAAAATAAAAGAGAAAACCCCATGTGGACAATTTCAAAAGATGCAGAAAAAGCATTTGGCAAAATTCAGCAATCCTTCATGACTGAAAAGAAAATTCCTCAGGAAACCAGGAATGGAAGGGAATTTCCTTGACCTGACAATATGCACCTATAAAAATCCTATAGCTAACCTCCTACTTAATGGTGAACAGCTAAATGTATTCTGTCTAAGATCAGGAATATGAAAAGGATATCTGCTCTCAACACATCTATTCATCATTATACTGGAGGTCCTACCCAATGCAATAAGATGAGAAAATAGAATAAAACCATAAAGATGGGAAAAGAAGTAAAACTGATGTTTTTCACAGATGATATGATTGTATATGAAGAAAACCCTATGGAGTCCATAAAAAACTACTAGAAGTAATAAATTTACTTATAAAGGTCACAGAACACAGGTCAATATAAACATTAATTGTAGTAAAGATGACAATTCTCTCTAAACTAATCTATAATCACAATCTCAACAAAATTTTTTATAGCTAGAGAAAGTTTATTTTAAAATTTATACAGATAGGCAAAAGACTAAGAAAAGTTAAAACAATGTTGAAAAAGAAGAATGAAGTTGGAGGAATCATACTGCTCAATTTTATGACTTACTGTATAGCAAGAGTGTGGTATTGGTAGAGATAGACACACAGGTCAATGTTACAAATAGAGAATCCAGAAATACACCCACACATATATACCCAACAGATTTTTGACAAAACTTGCGAAAGAAATCCAATGGAAGAAGGATAGACTTTTCAGTAAATAGTGCTGGAACAATTAGACATTGGTAGCTCAAAAAAATGAACTTTGATCTAAACTTCATGCCTTGTACAAAAATTAACTAAAAATGGATCAAAGATAGAAATATAAAATGTAAAACTATAATAGCCAAAACAATTTTTAAAAAGAAGAAGAAAGTCGGAGAACTTTCTGATAATAAAATGTACTACAAAGCTACAATAATTAAGACAATGTGGTACTGGTATAAGGATAGATATATAGATCAATGGAATAAAACTGAGATTCCAGAAATAAATACATTTACAGTCAATTGATTTTTGACAAAGGTGCCAAGGCAATTCAATGGGAAAAGAATAGTCTTTTCAACAAATGGTGTTGGGACAACTAGACATCTATATGCAAATGAATGAAGTTGGACCTATACCTCACACCATATACAAAAACTAACTCAAAATGGATCAAACACTTAAATATAATAGCTAAAACTTTTAAACTGTTAGAAGAAAACTTAGACATAAATCTTTGTGACCTTAGATTGGGAAATGATTTTAGATATGACACCAAAAGCACAAGTAACAAAAGAAAAAAATGGATAAATTGGACTCATGAAAATTAAAAACTTTTGTTCTTCAAACACCACTATAAGAAAGTGAGAGGGCCCTGTGGCTTAGTGGTTAAGTGTGCGCGCTCCACTGCTGGCGGCCCGGGTTCAGATCCCGGGCGTGCACCGACGTACCGCTTCTCCGGCCATGCTGAGGCCACGTCCCACATACAGCAACTAGAAGGATGTGCAACTATGACATACAACTATCTACTGGGGCTTTGTGGGAAAAAATAAATAAATAAAAAATTAATTAAAAAAAAAGTGAGAAGATGATCCATGAAATGGGAGAAAATTTTTACACATCATATATCTGAAAAGGGATTTGTATCTAGAATATATGAAGAAGACTTACAACTCAACAGTAAAAAGACAACCCAAGTGAAAAAATGGACAAATGTCTGTATAGACATTTCTCCAAAGAAGATATATAAATATCCAACAGGCACATGAAAAGATTCTCAACGTTATTAGCCTTCAAGGAAATGCCAATCTAAACCACAATGAGATATCACCTGATGTCCACTAGGATAACTATAATAAAAAAGACAGATAATAACAAGTGTTAACAAGGGTGTGAAAAAATGGAACCTTCAAACACTGCCTATGGGGATATAAAATGGTGCAGGCAATTTGGAAAATAGTCTGGCAGTTCTTCAACAGTTAAACATAGAGTTACCATTTGACCCAGCATTTCCATTCCTAGGTGTATACCCAAGAGAAATGAAAACATATGTCCACACAAAAACTTGTACACGAATGTTCATAGCAGCATTATTCATAACAGTCAAAACGTGGAAACAACCCAAATATCCTTCAATT